AAACACCAGGCTGAGCTTTGGGCACTGCTTTCTCCCCCTCTCATAAACCTGAACCTCTTCAGAGGAGAACACCTCCTGAGCTTAAAATACAAGCTATCTTCCCATCATATTATCTTTCAGGAAATGCAGGAACGGGTCCCACAGCTTCTGCAGCTAGAGGATGGGCTATGCATGTTTTCTCCTTTTCAAATAAAAACTGCAACCCTCGGCAGCAGTAAGGCGGGACTGGGGACAGACAGGCAATGCTGAAAGCAGCTAGAGCTGCAGATCTGGGGTGCTGGGAGCAGACAATGGGCCCCCGGATTAAGGCGTTTCCTTGTCAGGCCTGCTGGGAAAACTGGGAAGCAGGGCCTTAGCCTCTGTGGGCTCAGAGGGAGCCCCTACTTCAGCTTTTTAGGGAGTTTGGTTGATCTTGTACATCAGTTACTAGTATTGCTACTCTGTCTCCAAACCACTAGTCCAGCCCACAAGTACGTCCCTTCACAGGCACAAGCAACCCATCCTACCACCACTACAACACTCGCCATATGCACTTCAAAACACACGTTCCCACCACCCTGAATTCCTGAGTTGCCTCTGATTGCCTGGGTCTACTATGTAACACAGGTCTGTGCCTATGCCTACAGGTGTGAAGCCACTGCCCTCCCTGCCATGCCCATGGCCTCCCCTATCTCCCTTTCTCCAGTCACCCTTGTTTCCCTTCTCCAGGGTCCACTCCTGCCTGGCCCCATCCCCAATTGGCCAATTCCCCTCAAGGCCCCGTACTGAACTGTCCTGTTGTCCATTTCCCAGGGACAAGGGCTCTGGTTACAGAGTTATTGATTGGTTTTCATGCAGACAGATGGGCCCTTCCTGGGCTCCCATGGAAACCCCTGGCTGTATGGGCTGATTGTTGCCTCTCTGGGTATAGGATTGCACTGGAGACCACCCTCCACGCAGCCTCCTTTGCCCGGGCCAGGACGGAAATAAATGGAGGCTGCTTGAGCAATAATAAAAGCAATTGAGTAGGTTACCTGTGCAGACACAAGATTTATGCCTTTTCATATTTAGTGTGATTGTTTTATCCAGTTCTCGAGACAGTTGGAATCCTATTTATTTAGGATTTCCCCTCCTTTCCTCCTCTTTACAGCACCCTCGGCAACCGACTTGGAGCTCTGGTCGGGAACAAGCCATCCTGTCTGCCTCTTTTCAAGAGACAGGAACTCAGAGCCACCAGCCACCACCCTCCCTGAGGCCTTCGTGTGGTCTAGACACTCGCAAGCCATACACCAGGAAGGCATCAGACCAGTGTGACTACTGGCCAACAAGCCCAGGCTAAAACTGCTGCGGAAACAGAAAGGGACTCCTTAGGAGGGAAGTCTAGCTTGAGTGAAAAAACAAGATCAACATTCATGCCTCCTCCTAGGATGGACAGCCCCTGTAGAGGAAGCCCTGTCTGGGGAAGGGTGGCCGAGCAAGGGTACTGGACAGCAAACAGCTGACAAAGGGCTGCCATTTCTGGCCCCAGTCTGCATAGCCCAGGGTCCAAAAGCAAATACTCTGTCCTGCTTCTTAGGTGGTAGAGTCATCAGCTTGCTCTGGCTCTGGGCCCAGAGACTGAGCAGCTACATGGATGTGAGATGTGGCAGGCAACACCACTTCTCCATCCCACTCTTGGGCTAAGCCCAAGAGCCAATCAGAGAACCTTCTAGAACTGCAGCTTCAGAAGAAAGAAATAGGTCCTAGTCCAGAGCAGTCCTTGCTGCAGGAAGAGAAGGCATGCGCCCAGGCTGAGGGAGAAGACCAGGGGACAGTGACTGTGAGCAGCAGGCTCCGGAAGGGTTCATTCTGGAGAGCTGAGGGTGGGGAGTGTGGGGCAGGTCTGGAAGGAGATGCCTCTCTGGACGGCTCATCCATGGCCATCCTCAGGGGGTCTTCGGTAACCCTGACTTTGCAGAAATTTGTGCTGCTTTCTCAAAGAAGTGGAACTCCCTGCCCAGAGCAATAGCCAAACTGGAAGACGGCGGGAAAATCAGTTTCTCAGCCCCTTATGTAGGTGACTTGTCTCCTTTCTGGCACCTTGAATCTTTTTCCATCTCTCCTCCTCCAGACCATCCCCATACCAAGTTCAATCTGGAGCCGCTTATTCATAAGCACTGCCCTCCACAGCAACTCCCTGAGCAGCAGCCCAGAGCGCAGTGATCGGGAACCCAGTATTTGGGAGGACTCATATAAATCCCACACGCTAAGATAACCCAGTCAGTTCTTGGGGTTTTGGCCATGGTCTCGAGAGGCTTCCTGACCTGCTCCTGTAGCCCAGGGGGGAGTTCTACCAGTAGGAGGATTTGCTAAGGAGAATGCAGTTTGGTTGGCCAAGCCTTTATCGAGACAGGGTTGGAGAGTGCCGAAACTGTTTCTAAAGCACAAAAAGCAATTTAGTTTATAGCCATAACAGCATATTTCAAGTGCGGCAACAGCATCTGTTTGGGGAAGAAATGTTTGGGCGAGCGTGTGGACTTCCTCTTTTGCCAGTGCAGGCTCCTGCCACCCTGACTCACAACTGTTAGAAAGGACCTGAGCACAGACCACCTCACCAACAGCAAAGTTCCAAACTCAGAAACTCCCCATTTCCCGCCACACTGTGGTTTGCACAGTGAGGAAGCGCTCCAGTAGGATTTTCAAAACAGAGCAAGGGCCAACTTCTTAGCATAACCGGCCATGCTAGCCTTAGATAGGCTCAAAGATGCCCATCATCCCTTTCTTTCCAGAACAGAGAAGGAAGTACACTAACGGTGGGGTGCCCCACAGAGTTTTTCCTAAAATGAACCATGGGAGGCTCTGCCGGAAGCAAAACCTAGGACAACATGACCATGCCCTGTTGACCAAGCGGGCTCTGAAGCATAACTGTGGATCCACGTCCTCTCCTAATGTGGCTGAACCTGCCCACAGAGAGCTACTTCTCCACAGTCAGAGGAGGCCTCTGTCCTCTACGGGCAGCAGGGCTTGTGCCAGGCCCATTCCGAAGCTGTGGGAGCCGTCACCCAAGGCTGTTCCTTTCCCGGAGCTCATCTGCTGGGCAGCTCACACAGGTACTTTCTTCCAAGGCTGGTGGGTGCAGCTCATGATCTCTAGAGCTTGGTTGGGAGTCACCTGTCTCTGCTCTCTATCCTCAAACTGTGTTCTAAGGCAGCTCTCCAAAACAGCTCTGTCAGTGAGGGGTGTGTGTTGGGGGGAAAGGGAACAAAGGGTGATAGGCCTGGCTGCCCCCACCTGCCTCAGCTATAGATGAATTGGGGTCCTCCAAAGGCTGCCGAAGTTCATCCTGGGTGGTGAGCAGCTCTCTCTAATGTTCTCCAAAACACTGCCCCCCTGTCAGTGCACTGCTCCTGCCAGCTCCCTGTGGCTCCACATGCTCTCTCCACAAGACCCCAGCTCCAACCAGCAAGCAGCCAGGAGGCACGGTTAAGGATGACTCCAAAAGCAGCGCGCTTCCCCTTTCTACTTCCCTGCTGCCTTCCAGCCCTAGCTTCCTCCCAACTTTGAAATACGAAATCCTTTCCCCCCTCCCAAACCAGAATCTTTCTCCAGCTCCTCTGGAAGGTATCTGAATGTCAAACCAACAAGTTTTCAGACCTGGCTGAGCCAGGTCCAAGGAGCTGGAGGGTTCCAGAGGGTGCGTAATTAGCTGATCAGTATTATGTTACCCCATTCATAACTGAATAACTATTTTAATACAGATGGCACACACTGGGATAATTTCTGGGGTTGCCTCGCAGTACATTACAGTGTGAGTGTGGTAGAGGGAATCTTCTTTAGCCAAGGTAAATTCTATCAGCTAATTTTACTTGCTGTTTTCAGGATAATTGGGATAATTTCATATCATCTGCAAATATTTTTTTAAAAAACCTATAATAAATGATGCCAATTGCAGCAAAAAGCACGACCCGAACTATTGGTGGTCCTGATAATAACAAGCTTATAAAGAGCACAAAGAATAATGGTGTGACGCTCAGCCCTTTTCTCATTTGGGGGCGCTTTAAAGTGGGGCACTTGACTCCAACAGGCCATGACTTACACAGGGTGTCTTACAATGGTTGGGCTATACAGTTCTGCAGTCAGGAAGCTGGGTTGGGCTCCTAGTCCACCTGTTGCTTTGCGCTCTGTATAGCAAGGGCCAACTTCCCAGCATAACGGGTCATGCTAGCCTTTGACAGGCTCAAAGATGCCAGAGAAGCATATGGCACATAGTCAGGATGCTTTCGTGGGAGGTGCCCATGGATTCTCTCAGAGGGACCTAACTCTGTCCTCTGGGGACCTAACTACCCTGGATGTCCAGCTGACTGACTCTGGCCTGTGTCACTCCGTGTACTTGAACTTGTCATCAGGGCAAAGACTTCAGTTTCAAAACCAACACCTTAGCTGTGAGGAGCATCCCACAAAATTCACTCTCAGCTTCCCAGTTCTCCCCCTTGCCTGGCACCTCTCTCCTTGTCCAGCTCCTTCATGCCCTGCCAATGGCTGGCTGGCGGTTGGCATTTGCTCCAGGAGCCTGGATGCCAGTGGTTCTAGCCTGGAAACTTGTTCAGAGCTGGCTAGCAGGACCGAGGCTCCTGGGAAGGAAGCTTTGTGGGAGTGGTGAGGGAGCCAGGACTGGAGGTTGCCCCCAGACAGGAGCATGCCTTAAGAAAGGAAGTCTGTTTGGAAGCCATGAATAGACACTGGTCATTTTAAAGGCTTCACTATGGGCCGTGATTGTTGCTAGATCCCGAGGCATGTAATCTTGGAGACTTAATTACCACAAATACTTGGATTCATTTCCAGGACACCAGTGGGGAGAAGCCTGGCAGGGAATACCCAGTGCTGAGCCGGATACAGTTCTGTCTGTCCATCTCTCTACCCTGTAGGTATCCTCTCCCTGCCAAAGGCCAGATAAAGGGCAGAGCCTACACCTTGGAAGACACCCTCAGCATGCAGGAGTCAGGAGCTGAGTCCTGCTGCCCAGGCCCAGGGAGCTTGCTCACCTGTTGATGGAAGAGACGCTGGGCACTGTGTCGTTGTCGCAGATGCCCTCAGCCAGGAGCCGGTCACGGATCTCCCAGGCAAACATGGTTGGGTTCTGTCGCTTGTATTCAGCAATCTTGTCCACTACTTTGGGCGTTGCCACTTTGGGCTTAGAGCCACCGATCACACCAGGCTTGATGCTGCCAGTCTCGTAGTACCTGCGCCGGGAAGCCGGCGGGGTCAGTGGAAGCAGGTGGTGGCTGATGTTGGGATGGGGGGCTGCAGGCTGCAAAGCCACTAAGCCACTCTCCCGCCCACCCACCCACTTTAGCAGCAGAGTGCAAGGAAAAGGGCCAGAGTGGCTGAGCCAACTTCCGGAGGGTGCTGAGCTAAGGTGAAGGGCATCAGGAGGAAGGCAGGGAAGGACAGCCACGGCAGGGGCTGGGCGCACACCTGTCATCAAAACCTGCGCCCCTGGAAGGAGAGCCTGGGGCTGAAACACCGCCTCCAGCCCTTTCCGGCCTCCTGCAGGGGGCCCCCTCTGGGAACCAGCACCCTCCTTCTGCCTGCCCAGTGCTATCTCTCCTGGGGATCTGCTTTCATGCGCTACGACCTAGCACTTCTTCAGACCACCACCACAATAACTCACTGGAAAGAGAGCTCTTCCCTCCGGATGCTGGGAGTAGAAGAAGTCCTCTAGGGCCCTGGAGCAGGGTGGGCACTGGGCTGACTCTGCTCTTCTGCCACCAAGTGAGCACCCTTCCCGAACTCAGTAGCTGCCTGGATCCCTCCAGCTGAAGAATTTCCTTCTCTCCTACCCAGTGCCTCAACTTTTAGCCAACTCCTTCCTGGAGAAGGAGACAGGGTGCCTCCCCAAGGCTCCAGCCCTCACCTGCCCAGGATTTTGCTGACACAGCCATGGCTGACCCGAAGCTGCCTGGAGATGTCGCAGGGCCGCACACCCTGGTGGGCCAGCTCCACGATGCGCTGCCTCACCACGTCGGGTAGGGGCCGGCCGTTCACAAACACCCCCCCGAGCTGGTTCACACCCCCGTGCCCTGCTGGGGAGAGACAAGAAAAAGACAGCACCCCACACACAGCAGGGACCAGCCATTAGTCAGGGTCGGAATACTAGGAATGGCAAGAGGGGCAGGCAGGGCCAAGGGGCGGGTCCCTGAACTCTCGGAGATGGTGGTGGGCTGGTCAGTATGCGAAGATTAGGGATTGGAACCGCCAGGTAGAGACGAAGGTGCCCAGATGCTGGGCAGAGGGCTGGCAAAGAATGTGAGTGAGACCCTTGCGATCTGCAGGGGAAAAGTGAGAGATGAATGGAGAAGCCTGGAGAGAAAAGAAAGGAAAGAGGAAGAACAGGCGTGGGGAATTAATGCCAGGGAAGGGATACAGGAGAGAAGGTGCAGGAATGAGCCATGAGGGGTGATGGGTGCTGAGGCGCTCCAGGGGCAGGTTCAGGGTGCAGGGCTGGGAAGCTGATGGTTCTGGGGGGCCACCAGCCTCACTCTGCCTAGCTGAGCCTCGGGATAGCAGGGCTACATCCTCGCACACCCAATTCAGCTCCACACCTCTTTGTGTTTGTTTTCAGTCATTATTGCGCTGCCTCTTTCCCTGTGGGGTTTTTGTTGGTTTGATTTGGTTTTGATCAGGAGTTTTTCTTGCCTTGATGTTTTTCATCTTTGGCTATTCGGGAGCCATATTTCCCTCTCACCTCCCTAGTGTCTAAAGCAGGGGGAAAGCCAGGTAGGGAGGGGAAAGCGCTGGAGAGGAGGACCCACGGTCCGCTCCACTCGCCGCCAGACCAAGGCGAAGCTGAGGCGGCTCTGGCCGCTCGGTTCCGCACCAACCGAACAGAACCGCGAGCTGCTCAGTTCTCCCGCCAGCCCATCGAGCCGGTTTGGCCCGCGGTCCCGCCCAGGTCTCCTGGCACAGCCTCCCGGCGGAGGACACAACCTATGCAGCCGGCCCACGCCAGCTCGAGTTCCCCTGACCTCTTAGACCTCGGCAGCCGCCAGGTAAAGCCAGGCACCAACACGCTGGCTCCTGGAGCAGAGGAGCGCGCTGGTTTCCAATCCGCGCCTGCCGGGCTCCCGACCTTGGAGCAGGCGGCCCCGATGCCAGGCTGGAACGCGCGGCGGGTGCCCGGTGCTCCCTGGCCTACAGCAGCCCAGCAATCCTGCTTCCTAGCACCCAGCCTGCCTCCGCGGTAACGGAGCAATCTACCCGCTGGCTTCCGGTGCCCGGCCTGGCCGGCTACCTGCAGCCCCGGCCCGCAGCCCCGGAGTTTCGGCGAACGCGGGACATTGCGCATCCTCTGCGTTTCCTTCCCATCTCCTGGAGGATGAGAGCGAGCTTGGGCGAAACCCCTGGGAAGGGCGTCTGAGCTGGCTGCTGGGGAGCCCAGGATTTCTTAGTTTTACCCCCACCCGAGTCTCCCCGTGGGTAGCCCCCTCCTCCTGCTTCCCCTCCCTCCTGACCACCACTATCAATAATTTAGGCCCCGGGAGAACTCGCGTTACCCGGACGAAAAGGCGGCAGCTGCGGGCAGATTAAAGATGAATAATTCAGCCTCCCCGGGCTCTGGGCCCGGCCCTTCGGCCCCAATCTGAGGGCTGGGGACTGGCGGGGTCCAGGGCCATGGTCTGCTGCCGCGCGGAGTCGGCCCGAATGCGCCACTGCCGCGGTCGCCCGCCCGGCCGCGGCTGCTCTGCGCGCTCTGGGGCTGTGTGCCCGCCTCGACCAACTTCTGCCGGCCTCGCTGCCCTGTGGGTTTCAAGGTGGCTCCCGTGGGCGCCAGGCCTCGGCGGCCCCGGGCACCATCCGCAGGAGAGCAAGAGCCGGAGCCGGCCGCGAGGTGGGCAGCTGGGTAGCACGGTGCTGGCGGGTCTCGCTGCCTCCGAAAAGGAGCAATTCCCCGCACGGGCCGCGGAGATCCGCGGCGGCCAAAGCTTCCAGGTCGGGCTGCCTGAGCTTGGGAATCATTTAGGGAAACATGTTTATCGCAGGAGTAGTTTTTAAAGGCCCCTTTGAAGCTAAGTACATGCATAGAGAAATACGAAGCCTTTTCCTCCTTGCGCTCTCATTTTAAGCACAGATTCGAGCCAGGTCTAAAAAGTTTCCTTGTGAAAAGTTACAAAATAATCCTCAATTCATTAATCCGCAGATGGGAAGGGGTTTTTGTTTAGAATTCTATTGGTCTCTCTCTCTCTCTTTCTTTTTTTTTTTTCTTTTTCTTTTTTTTTTTTTTTTTTGTCTTAAGTGCCTGCTGAAAATCTCACAGTTTTCCAAGGTAAAGAATTAACTAACATGAATGAGATAAATTCAAATTTTATTAAAATAATTCCTTCTTTCCCTATTTCCTTTCTCTCCATCTTTTTCTGTAAAGTCATTCTAATTTTCTTCCTTTGATTTCCTTCCCCTTGTTTTGATTTCTTTCCCTGCTCCCCAGCGTCGTCGGCATTTGCCTTTCTTTTGTTCTTTCCCTCTCATTTTTCCGCTCTTTGCTGACCTCCTGGCCAGGGCACTGACTGCCCAGTCCTCTGCAGGCACCAGGAGGTGGCAGGGAGCCTGCAGGATGGGAAGCACACTGCTTCTTCCTGGGGCTGTTCTGCTGCTCCCTCCGTTTGATTTCTCCTTGGGCTCCTCTTTGTTTTTAGAGCATCTCTTAGGGCAGAGGCAGGGAGAGATGACCACTGTACCCTGCCAACCCTGAGCCCCAACTCAAAGGGAAAGGAAGGGAGACAGGAGACATGGGAAAGAAAAAGTAGGAAAATATTTCAGGGCAGCTCACAAGAAGCCTAACCCAGGCTGAAAGGGCTAAGAGAGGCTGAGAGCTCGGGGTCAGAAGGGGGCACCCCACCGAATACTCTTATCACAGCCGTCCTTATCCTAGGTGGCCCAGGCTAGGAGTCTCCCCCTGGAAACCCACAACTCTTAAGTTTGAGAAAGGTGAGAGGTGCGGAGGGAGGAGACAGCGACCAAACAGCCTGAAAACTGAGCGAATAGTCCTCCAGCTCAGGGCAAGAGACCGGCTAGGGGTGGGTGGCAAGCACGACCCTTCTGTGGACCCCATGACCTAGGAAGAAGCAGGTGCAAGGAGCAAAGGTGGTGACCAGCATAGAGAGGAGAAAGGCCAACAGAACGGTGAGCAGGGTGACGGAAGGCAGACGGAAGAGAGGCTGGAGGCACTAGAAGCGGCAGGCGAGGGAAAGAGGCAGAGAGGGACCAGAGAAGCCAGCCCCTCCTGGCTGCAGTATGGGACTTGCGCGCGGGAACCCGGCCGCACTGGGTCTAAGCAGGGCCGAGCGCGGGACAGGGGCCGGGCGCGGTACTCACGGTGCATCGCGGAGAAGGGGTCTGCTTTGCAGTGCATATCCATGGGGAGACAGAGGAGCGGGAGCAGCGCGGCCGCCGCCGCCGCCGTGTCGCCTCGCAAACTCAACTTCAGGACTTGAGGAAAAAAGGGAGGGACGGTGGGGGAAGGAGGTGAGCGAGAGCCCGGCTGCGGCGGGGCGCGCGGGGGCAGAGGCGGGGGCGCCGCGCTGCGCTCCCTGCCGAGACTCCCTGGCCCACCCGGCTCGCGAACCGCGGCGGTCGCAACTTTCCACCGTCGGGGCGGGGGACCGGGCGGTCAGCAGTGTGGCCCCGGGGCGGCGGGCCGGGCCGGGAGGCTCCGGGGACGCATGGCTCGCTCAGCGACCCCGGTGCCCTGTCATCCGAGCGGCGTCCGTCGGAGAAGGACGGGGAGCGCGGCCGCGCCGAGCGCGGCGAGTTGGCGAAGTTGGAGAAGTAGCAGTCCCCGGACTGCCCGCAGTGCCCGCAGGGGGAGCCGGCCGACCCCCGCCCGGAAAGGGCCGCCCGGCGCAGGCCGGAGAGCAGGAGAAGCCGAGCGCGACGGCTGCGTGGCACTGGCCCCGGGTGGGCTACGGCTTCGAGAAGCCTCGGCCGGAGACTGGAGCCGCGGCTCCCGGCGTGTGTCTCTCTAAAAGCTGCAGAGCCCCTCCAGACCCCCCTCCCCGCGTCGGGAGATGGATGACTTGTCAGACAAAGGCAATAGATTCCACCACTCTGTGATTCGCCAGCGCCGGAGCCCGAGCTGGGCGAGGAGGGCCCCGCGCCTGTCACTCCGGTGCCAGGAGGGGGCGGGGAGGGGGAGGGGGCGCGGGCCGGGGAGGAGGGCCGGGAGCCCGGGATTAAAACTACACTGAGAAGCGAAACTCGCCGATAAGATAAACGTTAGATAAGGATAAAGGGCGGCCAGGCTAATGAATATTCCGGCAGCGGCGAGGCCCGAGCGCGGAAGCCGGGCTCGCGATCCCGCCTCGCGCCTCCCGCCCCTCGCCGGCCCGCAGGAACCTGCGCTGGCCCGGCCTGCGCCCTGCGTCCCGGCTCTGCCTCGGCGCCGCCGAGTCGCCCTCGCTCCTCCCAGGTTCTCCCTCTTCCCCTCCCCAGCCCTGGCTTTAGGTTTCTTCCCTCAGGTGCCTTCCTGCCCAAGACCTGGTCCCCCCTCTGGGGCGAAGCACCCGCAGGTTGCCCCCTTCCGTCCCGCGCGCACTTGGGAGCAGGGCCTCCCTGGGCCCCGCGCCACCCGGGTCTGGGCGCTCAGGATGCCCCGTCCGAGACTGCAGCGAGGGCCCACCTGCCTGGGTGGGACCCGACGGACGGCGGCGGAGCGCGGAGCCAGGGCTGCGGGACCCTGGGGGAGCGGAGGGGCGGGGATGAGACGCGCGGAGCGGCCGGCGGCGCGCAGCAGACGCGGAGGGAGGCCGGCGCGCTCTCCCGGCTGGGAAGAAGAGGCCCGGCGAGCGCGCGGGGCGCCGCCGCTGCCGCTCTGCGGTCCGGGGTTGCGCGGGCGGGCGGCGCCGCACGCCGGCCTGGATCCGCTCCTCCGCAGCCCGCGCCAGGTCCGCTCGCACGCGCGAGGTAGGAGCAGCCCTTTGTCTTCTAACTGGTTAAGTACAGAATATCCGGGAGATCTTTATGAAATATTTTCCCTCGTCTCATAAATCATCTTGGCACTTCAGCTGATGTTTTAACTCTCCCTCCTTCACTCCCTCCCCCCTTCCCTGGGCCTGCGAAGGGCGCCTGGGCAAAGCCCGCGC